TAAACTGCTTAGAGATGTGCGCCCTGCTTTATCCCAAAGTGGCAGGAAGCGCTTGGAAGTCTGTCCTGAAGAATGCCCCAGCAGCCCAGTGGGCCTGCTGCTTTTCCCTGCTGGCCAAGCAAAGAGCATTCATGACAGCAAAAGCCCTGACCAGGAGTCCCACTTTCAAATGAAGCACTGGTATCCCATTGCTGGTGCGTATTAGCATCTTCCCATCAATGAGAAATCATTTCCTTCACCCCCTTCTCCTTGCCTTTGGTCTTGCTCATAGAAAGCTGTGACTGGAGCCTGCATGTGCCCGTATCTGCTCCTGCGATCTCCCTTTGTTTGGCTGCCAGCTTTCTGCACCTGCGTGCACGCCTGCTCTCCCTCCCCACTGTAGTTAGTCCTTCCCTCTTCCATCCCATGGGCAGGAAAGCGGGTTTTGGCCAGGTCCAGGGGGGAAGGTGGTGTTTGGCAAGGGCAAGCATTCCCACACCAACAGCAGCCATGGGTGGGATGGGGGGGCACAGGCAGCTTGGTTATTTGTGGATGAAGTACCAGTTGCCCTGTGATTAACCCTCTGGAGGTCCTGCCCACATCTGTCCTGATGGGAGCTGGAATAGCCATGCTTCCTTTGCTAATTGAGCCTGGATTGTATTAGCTAATCCATCTCCAAATCCCCCAGCTGTTCAGAGCTTAATAAGAGCAACCATACAGGCTGGCTGTGAGGCTGTGCTCGTGTCCTGTTGGGACAGAGATTACAAAGTGCGTATGGGTTTTGGGGTGTGGGTTTTCTGCTTGGGTGTTTTTTGTTTTGTTTTTTTTTTTTTCGGGGGGGGGGGGGGGGGGGGAGTGTTTTTTGGCAATCTAGCCAGCTGCTATCATCATTATCTCCCCAACCACACAGAATAGGGTCATAAGAAAAAACACTGTTATCAAGTCATGTAGGTGATGATAGGTGACATAAACCCAGGGATAGATGGAGTTAATATCGGTTAGATACTGTGTGCCCTGGTGGTTGTTCCTGTGCCATGCTGCCCACTGCCAGGCTTGTTCCTTTTCTTGCACAGCTCCCTGGGACAGGCTGGTTTGGAGATAGAGGCCTATCCTGCCCTTTCCCCGGAGGATGCTCCAGGTTACCACCAGGCTCCCTCTCACACCAAGTCCCTTGAGTGATGGCAAGAAGCAACTGAAGGCCTTGGTCATCATGGGCAGGAAGTATTCACCAAGTACACAGGGAGAGGAAGCAAACGGGACAGACATGTTAGAGGGCATTCCCTGTCCAGAAGGCACCACAGCAGCCAGACCACCAGCCCAGAGCAGCCTGTCCCCTCCAGAGCCCCTGCCTGAATGGCAGGAGGAGATGCTCTGCCGCAGTTTTTCTTTTTAAAGAGATGCAGGGACTGAACCATTAAAATCCTATCTATCATTCTTGTTCTCTTGAGCTTTTGTAGCCTCTTCTTCCACCCAAACTACCTCAAGTGGGAGAAGGGACTGGAGCAGCTGTGGGAGCCCCTGGCCATGGCATACAAAGCTCACTTGTTATCGCCACTGTCATATGCCTTTCTGCCTCCTCCCCCCTCCCAGCCCCACCACAACCGCTACATCCCGAAAGCACAAACAGAGCATCCATCAAAAGGGCTATTATCCCATGATTTCTGAACAGCCACTGTTGCTCTTGGGTACAGAGAACCGAGCTCCCCCCTTGACACAGTCCCCCAAGCAAAGGAATAGCAGAATAGCGGTGCCTGTCGCTGGTTGGCATACTGATTTGCAGCCTGTCGCAGCAGCCAGGGTGGGATGAGGGGCTGCTGCCTCTACATGGGGTCGCGTTAGTGATTTAAGCCTTCACTTCGGTCCTACAAGGTAGATGGATCCTACTGAGATCATACTTTGGGCCTCCAGATGTTATCAGTGGGGGTAAGTCCCATGGAGGATGGTTAAGAGATCACATTAGTGTTTCATTCTTTATGGCTGATGCTTTTAATCTGCTCTTCCCAGGAAAGAGGAACTGGATTTTGAGGGGATTTTGAGTTGGATCTTATGGTATTGTTTTGAATACAAAGGGCACCTATGGCCCCAGGTATATTCTCTTCCTATAGCGAGATGGGGTGTCGGGATGGCGACAGTGTCCCCAGGGCCAAGGGGAAATCCTGGAGGTAGGAGGCAGGTGCTTTGATGGGCAGTCAGCATCTCTGCTCCAGCAGGAAAGGGAGGGCTGGTGGAGAAAAGGCGCATTTCAAACAAAGCCATCACCCTCTGGGACAGAAGGAGGGTCTGCAGTGCATGGAGGGGCAGTTTCCACGGAGGTGAACATTGACCAAAGCAGCTTGTTGACAGGCAGCAGCTATTACCATCCCTGGAGCCTGACAAAGGATGACCCTTTGCTCTTTCCCCAGGCAGGAAGAAGGTTCTGGCACTGGCTGCCCCTGGCTCCATCACAGGTGAATTTCTCTTGTTGCTGATTGCAGCACAGATGGGGCCACTCCACTTCCACCCGAAAGATCTTCCAGCTGTGACACCATGGGTGAGCTGGAGTCCTGGCAGGGAAAGGAAGATGTCCCAGTACATGGGGACCAGGAGATCTGTGCACCACGGCTGGAAACTAGGATTTGCTCATTGGCACATTGTGGAGTGTAACTGATAAGAAGTGTCACGTATTTTCCTGTTGCTGTGTTTTTTCAGGTCCCCTGGAGTACTATTGCGCTAGCAGCCTTGGGAACAGGGCAGCTTTGCTGGCCAGGAGCAAGGCTGAGCCCATCTTCAGGAAGCTTTGCTCTCTTTGTCCACCCACAGAGAAACCCCCTGTTGGTTTACGCTTGTTTGTCTTCCTGTTAAGGGGGGTTCTCTTACAGCTGAAACACTTTGAAAGCAAGACTCAGAGATGGCCTTGCTCCTTCCAGCAAGGGATAGTGCTTGAAGTTCCAGTCTGCCTGAGGTTTCCCTTTGTGCCTTCAGGGTTGCTCCAAGCCATGTGTCCTGGTGCTGAGTCAGCATTCCGGAAAACAATACATTGGAAGATATATGGCTGGCCAGGACATGTGGTTGTGTCTTAGCAGTCTTTGTGTACTGCTTTCCACATGAGAGGGCTTCTTCAGTGCGAGTTTTCTTGGACATTGAGGAAATACCTAAAATGAACAATGATGGACATTGTACTGGCGAACCCACGAGACTTTATAGCCATGCAAAAAGCCATCACGTCTCAGACCTTGCAGACCAACTGTTTTATGAAAACTCGAGGCTGTTCAATTCTCCACTGAAATCTATGGACAGTAACAGGCTGACTTCACCAGAAATTTTCATTATCACATAATCCCGAGGCCTCTGGCATGGAACAGGTTTTCCTGCCTGGGGTGAACATCTCAGGACAGTTCACTCAGCAGGTCCAGTGCTGTTCCAGTGTGAACAGAGAATGAATGGTTTTCTTTCCCTGAGCTGTCCCTGACTCTTCCGTAAGAGAATGCTGAGAACCTCAAGGCACCTTAGCTATTAGAAGATTCTAGTACTCTTATTGGAAAGAACAGAGGCTCTTTTTGAAGTTCCAGCTATGAAATTCAGACTGCTCCAATATGGGGAAATTAGCCAAAATTAGCTATCCCTGCAGACCTCAGCTACAACCTCAGCTGGGCTCTTTCATCCAAACCTTTTAAAATAAGGAAAATGTTGTACATTTGGGCCACTCATTTTCCCCTCTCACCCATGAGATGTGGCTCTGTGCTACAAGAGAGGTTTCTCTCCTGATGAAGGTGTTTCTCAAAGCTTATTTACTCATTAGACTGGGCACTGGGATCCTGCATGCTAAAAGATGCAGCAAATTGATTGCGAGTGATTTGCTTGAAAGAAGAAGTGGGAGGTGTGTTAAGCAGATGTCTTCATGACAGTGTGGCAAGTTAAGTGGAGAAGTTCCCGTATTTTCCTGTGTTTCTGCTTACTGTGGTGCCTCTGGACTATTTTAATAGCTGATCAAGAAATGAAGGGAGAGCACAGGCAGAGAGCCGTGACTGCGAAAGAGCAGCCAGTAGCGATGTCTGCAAGCAAAAAGGTTTGTGAGCTGCAGCACTGCCAAAATTCCCAAAGGAGAAGAAATTACTGGGATGATTGGTTCCTGAGAAGGATATTTTTTTTCTGTGATAAGTGCTGTGCATATCGCCAACTTCTGTTTTTCTACATGGTGCTTGGGTTTCCCATGAAGCAAACCTATTTGCCTTTTAATCCACTATTTTCTCAGGAAATGTATGAGACCAGGAATGCTTTGTTGAGGTAAAAGAGAGAGAGCTTAAGTAAGGAATGGAGATAATGCCCTGACTAGGGCAGGGGGTTACCTGTTTTTTTTTCCCTAGTTTTGGAGAATTTAGGTGCTCAAAACCAGACACCACAGAGGAAGCACTAGAGTGAGAAAGACCACTCCCTTTCCCGCCCACTCTCAAGCGCAACTCAGCCACTGCAGGGAGCAAAATCTCATCCCCTCCCTTTTCATGATTCCCAGCCCCGCAGGCCAACGGGATTTTGGGATTTTCCCGAGATGCTGTCTGCATTTTTTCCCACGGTGGGGGTCAAATCCCGCTTTCCATCCCCGCAAACTTCTCTCCCCAGCATCCCCTCGGGCTGAACTTCACTTGGCACGCTCGTGCAGGATGAGTGAATGCTCTAGTTCCCCGTATCTTCCAGCTGGGTCCAGAACAAGCGTGGTGTGGAGTGTTGGGGAGGGAGCATGTGCGCCCGTTGGCTGTGCCCCTGCAAGGGGCGTGGGACCCCATAGGGTCCGTGCGGGGCTGCTGGGGTAGCTGGGTGCCCGCACCCTCCGATGGGGTTGGTACCCTCGGGGGATGCCCCGGGTGAGAGCTGTCCGCTGGTGCTCCTTCCGGAGGGGCGGGGCGGGGAGGGGAGGGGAGGGGAGGGCTCGCTTTGTGCCTGGGGGACACGAGTGTGCTGAGAGCGGTGCCGCCCGCCCGGGCCGGGCCCACTCCGTGCCCCGAGGGGGCGGGACGGCGGCGGGACGGGGAGGAGCGGCCGTTGCCCCCGACCCACGCGGGGCCCCGCTTGCCACTCGCCCGGTGGCGGCCGTGGCCGGGCGTAGCGAGGAGCGGAGCCGGGGCGAGCTCCTCCGCCGCCACGGGAGGCTGGTGAAAGGTGAGCAAGGCAGCGCCGCGCCGGGGTGGGTACCGGGCCACCGCCTCCCGGGACAAAGCCGGGCTGGGAGGGACTCCGCCGCTGCCGCTTGGCGGAGTATGCGGGCGGAGGGCGGCGAGGGAGGGTGAAGCCGAGCTGAGGCGCGCACCGGTCGCGACCGGCACAGCCGCCCGCCCCGGGAGTCCCGCTGGGCCCTGCCCGGTAAACTTTTCCCAGTCCTAGTGGACGCCCGGGGCCGTCCGGCAGCCAGAGCTGCTTGAGCTGGGCGTTTGGCGTGGGGGTTTGTTTTTTTTCTCGCCGGAGCATCCTTGTGCTGCAGCCAGCATCTCTACCTTAGGTAGCAGGTAGCCTTTGTATGAGCCCCTCGCCGGTGTCCCGGAGCACGGGGGTGTCTCAGACCCAGCTCCTGGCTTTCGGCGCCTGCCGGGGGGGCCGAGCCGGTGTTCCCGGGCGGCGGCGTGCTGGCTGCCCCTCCGGTGTGAGGACACCGCGCCGCCTGCCCCGGCGTCTGGGCAGCGAGAGACAACGGCTGGCTTAGCTGCAGAAAGGGAACTCCCGGTCTTTAAAAGGCAGTTGGCAGCGCCGATTATTAAACCAGAAGTGAAGAGTTCTTTTTTTTATGGCTCGGGTCCCTGCTTTCCTCCCTTTGATTTTTCTTTTTTGGGGGGGCTGGCTCAGGACACTTGTTCAGCTTTGGGGGATGCCGGACACTCCCTGATAGATCTGAGAGGAAACAAAGAATATTTTTTTTTAAAGGTGCTTTATCTGTAAATAATGTCGTTGAAGGTGCTGGGGTATGACCAAGACTGATTTGCTGCCCTTTGGTTCATTTGGACTCTGAAGTCCATGGTAAAACCTGTCTGAAACAGCCTCTTCCCTAAAAAGAAAGAGGCATGTGCCAGTCTGATTTGTGAATCCCATTCATATCCCTCTTTCTTCTGCTCTTTCATGAAACGGATTCTAATTTATCAGCCTGCCAGACAGAACTACTCTGCAGGCAGTAATGTGGTAGCGGATCAAAGCCTCTCTTCCCAAAGGTGGCATCTGAATTCAGATGATGCTTGTGGGGCAGTGGCTCTCCCACCAAGACAGAATACTCTTACAAGTATCCTTTTTTTTCGCCATGCGATAAGGTGACTGTTGGAGAGGCTGGCCAGGGCATCTCCGAGCCCAGAGGCAAGAGGCTTCATTTAAGTGTAGGTTGGTTTAGAGGTGCAAAGGTGTCTGTGGCTACGGTGGTGTTGCAGGTGGTATACCTGCAGGGAGGAAGTGCTGAAGGAGCAGGCTGGTAAATTTTACTCTTGTGTCATCAGGACTGGGGTGTAAAAGTGCCTGTTTGCTTGGAGACCCTCGAGGAAGGACTCTCAGTTTGCATGGGGGTCAGCTGGCTGGGAGATGATGACCTGAAGTTGGTTAGGGGGAGAAGAGCTCTGGAGCCAGGTAGGGAAATTGTGTGCCCTGACACCTATAGCAGCTGCTGCAATTTCCCTCATCTAGTTGCATTTTCCTATGTTCCCTAATCCATGGAGCTTTGTGGGAGTCCTCGTCTGAAGTATCTCCAAAGTTATTAGCTCCAGGTAGCTACTGGCAAGTGCAATCAGACCTGGCCATGTGGGGAGGGGGTGCACAGGAATGCAGGAATGTCTTGTTCCTGGGGCATTTCCTCCTGGGGAAGGAAGATGGGAAGGGATCCTCGTCTGTAAGTAATCCAAGAGCAAAACGTTTCTCCTCTTGCAGACAATGAATCGTTTCAGCGAGCTGACACTGTTATTTGTGGCTCCTGGCAAACCAGATAAGAGCTTTCTGCCAGGCACTTGCTCAAATCAGTGCCAGCCCCAGCCTTGCTGATTGCCTTTCTCCGTTGCACTGGGTGGGAGAGAAGCCTTTGTGTCTCACAGCAGTAATCACAGTGGTGCTTCTGGGTGAAGGAAGGTTGTTGCCTGTCCCCTTGGTTACACAGTCGCTGATTCTGGTCCTTGTATCTCCAATCTTTTTTATTTTCCAGAGGGAGGATGTCACTTTGGAGACAGGAATTTTTCCTGCCTGGCTTTGCTTCGTGGGGCTGTGAACAGCTATTTCCAAGACCTCTTTCCTTTACCCTTGATCTAAACCTTGCACGAGGCTGGTTATGCATGCTCATTAAACAGGGAATTAAATCACATAGGAATGCTGCTTGCTTGATGTCTTCTCTATTACAGAGCTCTGCTTAGAAGTTGAGGCTTTTTAAGTGATTGTGTGGGCTTTAGCTAAGTTGTGAGAAAAGCCTTGTAAACAATAAGCCTTTGTGTAAGGCAGAGTAAGTGTAATTATCACCTGTCTTACTCAAAATCTTCCCATTTGGGGGCATAACCAAACTAATCAGACAGTGTTGTACTTTTTCAGGTAACTAAGTGATCCTTAAGAGTGGCTCTGGGAAGCAAATGCAAAATGAGCGGCGGAGGACAGTGCAGAAGACGCAGAGGGCTCTCGGTCTGACCCACGAGGATTTGAAGATGTCTGCGTGCAGTGACTTTGTGGAACACGTTTGGAAGCCCGGCTCCTGCAAAAACTGCTTCAACCCAAAGAGTTCCCATTGGCCGCAAACACCCCCAGATGTGGGAGCTTGTGCCGTGCTCCTGAATGGAGTTAGGACCAAGCCTGAGAGCCCCACATTGGAAGACGAAGGTGTAAACACTTCTCCTTTCTCAAAGCCAACGATTGCCGTGAAGCCAACTATGATAAACTCGGATGTTTCTGACTCGTGGGTGGATGTGAATATGAATGCAGATCTGTCACAGGTAATGATTAATCCAGTCAAACATGACTTCCCTGTACTTACCTCCCCTCAGGAGTGCTAGGAATATCTGTTTAAACCATTTCCTTCCCTTTGTTTTTAATTCTGGTCTTGACTCAGGTCTTTAAAGACATATATTGGCTTGTCAAAGTACCTTTGGCTGAAGCTGAATGAGCTGTTACTCACGAAGCATGTGCAAAGGAGCTTAAATATGTGTTGTTTTTTAGGTACTTCCGGATTGTAAATGAGGATGTAGGTTAAAGTTATTTTCCTGGGGAGATGTACTGGAAAGAAGCCCTGTCTGATTGCAGACAGTGCTAACTAGATCTATGGTCCTCACGGGTGAGGAAGAAAGTGCCCTACCTTCCTAGCCCAGCTCTTTGGGGTCCCAAGCTCTGCCAGAGCAGTAGTGCCCTCTGGGTATAGCACTGCTGCCAACCCCAGTGCTTTGAGTTGCAATCCAGATGGGTGGTTCATATCCCTGACCACTTGATAACAGCACTGCCCGGTGAAACAGGGGCTGCGTCACCCTGCCCGTCATGTAGGTGTACTCTGTCTCCCACCTTTGCCCCAGAGGAGTATCAGAACTCACAGCTCTCTTCTTAGCCTCCCACTGGTCAACCTTGCTTTCTTTCTGGGGGTACAGGGCACATGAGCACAGGCTGCCATCACTGGTGGGGTTCGATCTGTGTGTGCAGAGTTGTCACCAGGCTGAGTGTCGTGCTATGGGAGAGGGCTCTGCCACCCTGGTATGGGGGGTTATTTTGCAGGCACAAATCAGGCACTCTGCCTTGCCCAACTCCTCCCTTGGCAAGCAGGATAGATCTCCCTCAAACTTGTTTTCTGGTGGCCTTTCAGTACCTTAATTTCGATAATTAATGCATAATAATTAATTCCAGTACCTCAAGGGAGACTACAAGAAATCTGGAGAAGGACTTTGTACAAAGGGAATGTAGTGATAGTTCAAGGGGTAATGGCTTCAAGCTCAAAGAGGGTAGATTTAGATTAGATATAATGAAGAGGTTCTTTACTTATGAGGGTGCTGAGGCACTGGCACAGGTTGCCCAGAGAAGTTGTGGATGCCCCATCCCTTGCAGTTTTCAAGGCAAGGTTGGATGGGGCTTGGAGCAGCTTCGTCTGGTGAAGTGTGTCCCTGCCCGTATCAAGGGAGTTGGAACTTGATGATCTTTAAGGTCCCTTCCAACCCAACTGATTCTATAATTCTATGAAATGAAGAGATTTTGGATATATTTCCCCACCTGCTTCACAGTCCTTGGTGCTGAGCGTAGCCAAGTTGCTATCCCAGGATAACCTGTGATAGTCTGTGTCTGTGCTCTGGAGTGGAACTCCAGAACAGCAGTGTGAAATGAAATGAAAATAAGCAGAGAGAGGTGCAAATATTCCTTCCCTCTGATTTTTTTTTTTTTTTTTCCCCTAATTGCACAGTGATTCACAGGGAGGATGACAGGTTGGACATGTTTCTGGCACAGAACCCATAGAAAGAGAAAGGAGAGTGCCTTATTTCAGTGCACTGCCATTGATGGTAATGCAACGACTGCAAATGGTCCAGGAAATAGGACAAGTGTAGGTTAAGTAGAAAAGGTTGGCAGTAGTTATTGGTGAGCACAGAGCAAAACAGATGATGAATGCCAGAGAACTTTTTTGCAGAGCTGCGCTGTTTATTATTATTATTATTTTTATATTAATTTCTCTTCCATTTTGCCTATGCACATCCTGACAGTGCACTTGTCTCTTTGGCCCATGCAGGTCAGCTGGGGCATGGTTTCTGGCAAACAGCTCCTTCTGAAATCAGGAGATGCACAGCGGGTCTGCCTTGACAGTTTTGGCAATGGAGGTGTGAGAAAGCCCTTCCTTCACAACCCGCCCAGCGACTGCTTGTCTTGCTGTCCTCCTAGCTACTCCATGGTGGGCTTGCGCAGCTTGGAGAGTCACGTGGAGAGAAATGTCTCCATCCACAGCCTGGTGCTTGTGGGTGAAGTGGGCAAGCAGGAAGACAGAGCCAAAGACAAGTTTGCCCTGCCGCATCATGCCCCCTGCCCTAGTCTGTCTGCCTTGAGGGACAGAAGCAGCACAAACCCCAACAGAAACCCTTCTTCCCAAGCCACAGAAGGAGCAGCGCTCCCCTTGGAGGGTGACTGTGGTCACCTCTCCTCCAGCTTTGAGAGTGAGGGGGGCGAGTACTGTTCAATCACGGAGTGCCACGGAGAGCACCCTGTCTCACGGGAGCCACGCTGCTCGGAGGTGAAGGGCACCCGGTGTGAGAAGGATGGCTCTGCTCCATGCAGATGGAGACAGCGGGATGCTCCCGAGATTCCCAGGCCAAGTGGCCGGGCGGTCAAGTTCAGTGACGAGGAGTGCAGAGCTGTGAATGTGGCCTTCTGCATCACGAAAAACCAGGGTGATCATCTCCCCTATGCCCTGTGTTCAGAGAGGAAAAAGCTGGCTTTCCATGCTGAGCCTGCTGCCCTCCCTGAGAGCACAGGGAGCAGCAACACAGCTGCCTTTGCTTTGTCCCCAGAGGATGAGGACTCGCCTCTCCCTGGAGAGGCCTCTGTCACCAAAGGCCCCTGGCCTGAGGGTTCAAGCGCCCCTCAGCAGGCTCTGGTTGAGCCGCAGCGTCCTTGCCTTGCTGAGCCAGCCCGCAGTGATCCCATCTATGCCGAGAGCACCAAGAGGAAGAAGGTGCTGCTGAACGCTAGTGGAGGACAGGCAAAAGCAGAGAAGCTGGCCCGCAGCACTGGCAAGGAGCAAGCTGATGGGATGTGGAGGGATGGCAGCTGGGCTTTAGGTGGTGAGAAGGAATACCAGGACTCCACTGGCCAGGTGGCAGCCAAGATAACTGTAATGACAGCGCACACTGAGGATGATCACAAGACAATATTCCTCAGCAGCCCTGACTCAGCAGTGGGAGTTCAGTGGCCATGTATCAGCCCCACTTCCCACCCTGATTTTGGGACTTCATCGCCTGCCATTGAGCACGGAGAGATTTTTCAAGCATCTGGAAGTGAAAACAGCACCAGATTTCATCTGGCAGCTCCTGCCAAGGTTTCAGTTGCTGAGAGCCCAGCCATTCCCCCAAAGATGTCCCGAAATGGCCAGCTGGGCAGCGATGGGAACCGTGTGCCCCCGGTAAGGCTTGGTGATGACAATAGCCATGAGGGAGCTGGTGTTCAGCTGCTGCCAAGGAGCTATACGGATACAGGCACCTTTGGGGCATCCCCTTCTCTGTGCACACATGTCAATGGGGTCTCTGTGGAGGAGTCCAGCAGAGCCCTGGCAGGCTCATCCTATGACAGGAGGCAGAAATACTTCACCCCAACATGGACCAAGCAGTGCCGGATAGAGGAGGAGGAGGAGGAGCAAGAGGAGGAAGAGCAGGAGCTCTCAACCCACCCATGGACAGTGGGAGCTGAGAATGGAAGAGCTGGAGCTGACCTTGTGGATGATGGCCCGATGCTGGAGCATCAGGCTAGGATCAGCAAATCATCATCTTTCTCCTTTGATTTCCCTAAGGACAAGAGCAATGGAGTGGAGTTTGCACCACCACCACCACCACCGCCGCCGAAAAAGCAGTCCAGGTACAGCTCTGTGAGTGTGTGCGTGCTGATCTATTAACCACTTGCAATAGGGATGTTTGCTGCAAGGATTCATTTTCCAGGAGATGCTTCCCATTCTTTTTTGTCTTCCTTTTCTGTTCAAAGGTGGGCTTTCAGGAGGGTGGGAGGTGACTGCGCGGCTGGAAAACTGTTTACCATTTTACTCCAAAAAGCTGTCAGATCTTTGCAAGTCCCAGTTTGAATGCTGTATGCATTTGCAAAAGCCCTTCAGGGCTGCAACGTGCAGCCTTAGGTCCCAATATTCAAATGAGAACAAGGTCTGCACTCAGGATGGCTGGTGTTTCTGAGGTCAGCTTCATTCTGTCTCGGCACAATTCCTTCTCATCGAATAGGGTAGAAAATCTGGGGTTGTGAGCAGCTACTGTAGGTAGAACAGGGCAACTTCTCTTGGTGCTAATAGCTCTGAAATCTTAATTTTCAGTTTGGCTCTAATGTCTTCTGGCTTTCCAGGTTAACTCTTGAAGATGCAGTTTCCCAGGGAGGGCTCCTTGCCTGCAAGCAGGTAACTGGAGCTTGCCCCACATGCACTCACAGTGTGTGGGAGCTGCTTGGCTTCAGGCAGCCTTCCCCTCCCAGCTCTCCTGAAGTGAGGTTTGCACGCAGGGCCACCGCGGGCCCTAGAAAACAAACGTGAATGAGGGAGAGCTGTCCATCTGGGAAGGAAGTAGCTCTGTGAAGCAACTGAAAACCCAGGCTTCCGATACTTTGTGTTCATTCAGTGTCTGCAGCTGTGTGTGTCACCAAAAAAAAGGGGGGAAAAAAGGAAAAGAAAATCGGCAAAGAAAAATTTATTTCCTTTCCATGTAACTAATGGACTAGGTTGTCTGTGCATGCTGGGGAGGGACACGTCTCACATTCTGTGGTGTCCTGTATTTGCTTTATTGTGTGTTTCCAGTTTCATCGTCTGACTGTGCCTTGCACAACAGATGTGACTTCAGCTCCTTGATGTAGAAGTTCACAGAAGAAGGGATGGATGCTCGGAGGAGAGCACCCATGTCAATGAGTCACGAGTGCACTCAACACTTGCTCTTGGAGTCCATGGTCAAGCTTATGCGTAGGCCTCCATGACCTCCAGGTTCAGACTGTGGTTGAGTTGGCCCATCCTATGTTTGTTCTCATACTGAATTGTCAGTGTTTTAAAGGTTAGCTAGCCCAGGGAACTAGTGTTTTCAGTTGACCAAGTGGTGAACAAATTAGGTTCCTCAAGGAAAGGGAAAAGATGAATGAGAGGTTTTAGTTCTCCTTGATGCTGGGCTTCCTGCTGTGATGCTGCATGTCTGCTAGAGTCAGAGGAAAGAAAAAGTCCACAAGCAACTGAGTACACAGATGAGCTTTGTTGCCTTTAAAAGCAAAGACAGCAGTAAGACGTGCTTCGTTTCGATCCTGTGAACTTTCTTCCATGGCTGCTGCCACTTGTCCCTTATCAGCCTGTGGCTTCGGGTAGTATTTGTCACATGAGGTGTTGCAGTGACCTAGCAGAGATGAGATGATGCTGTTGAGGAGCAGTCATTTAGGAAATGCCTAGTTGCCTGGAGAAAGTCCTCTAGAACTTCATTCTTTCTTCTGCAGAGCAGAGGTCATTGGGTAGGCCAGAAAGGTGGTGGCACTCAAACTCAGCAATATATTTCCCAGCAGCATCTTCCACTTGCAGTGCTGAGACCTCCTTCCACTCACAGAGGAAAGAAAGCCCTCTCTGGACTGGGGGAAAAGATGCTTCCCTGGCAGAGCTTGGAGTTTCCTTTCTGCTTTCATGAGGGCTGGGAATGGAGGCAAGGGGCTCCTTGATACGTCAGGGTGTCCCCTTGGCTGGGTGACTTGGACCAGCTGTGCTCCAAAGCAGGGGCATGCCCTGCTGTTGTCTTCCATAAGGAGTTATGACAGTCTGTCCTGAGGGGTGTGGAGCATTTTCTTCTCTTTGGAGGGGCTGTTTCATGCTCCTGGTGTGATCAGGCTGTGCCAACTGTAATGCTGCTTCTGAGTCATGCTGAAAGCATCTGTCTGCTAGAAAGCCTGTGTGAAAATGGGCAGGGAAGCTAAGGTCAGGGAACAAGTGGTATCGATGGTCAGGATCAGGATCCCTGGCATAAACCCTGCCAGGTGGTTCAGGTAGGTGATGGCATTGTTACCCCTTGTGGCTGCAGGCCATGTGTTGTGCTGCATGTATTTGCCTCCTAAACACCTTAATAGCTGCAGCTGAGCCGTGGGGCACCTTACTTAAAGAGCATAGCCCTCCCTCCGGCTACCAAACCCCTGCACCGCCAGCCTGAGCAGCAGTTTCATCGGATGGCAGGTTTCACAAGCTGTGAAAAGCCAGCTGGTTGCTTTGTTTGTTTGCTTTGAGGGTGCTCTTGTTTTCATCTCAAGTGTGGCTTCTTTGAGCATGTCGATGCAGGAACCAGGGTGTTGTTACCTGCGTGTGATGGTGGGAGGGATGGCTACATGCACAACTGCTTAAAATCACCATAGCAGGATTGTGTTACCCTGGACAGCCATTCCTTGTAGCTTTGGGTCATGACATGGCTCTGATGTGGTGCTGGGAGAACATCTCCTCTGGTCCTCTTGGGCTGCAGCTAAATGCCTTAAGAAGGGAGGAGGTCGATAACTCTGAGACATATCCATACTCTCCTAGGCTGGGGCAGTCTGAGGGTATGTCCTTGCCTGTAATGGAAGAATTACCAATACTACTGTTATGCTTATGCAGTCTTTGACACAGACAGAGCACCTCAGCACAGCTTGAAAGGCTCCTTTTAGGTGTGGATGGAGATGAAGCCAGTGTAGACCTGGTTGTGACACAGTCCTGGGGCTTGGGACTTGGGACGCAGGGAAGTCATGTAACCATCCTTTTTCTTCTAGATCTCAAGGTGCAGCAAAGTATTTGATTGCATGCTGGAAAATGAAGCCTGCCTGATTGACTTTCCTAATTAAACTTAATTGCTTATTTTAAAGAAAAGGTGCATGTGTGTTCAAGCTAGTTTCAAAGCAGAGAAGGAAAAAGCAAGTCTGTATATTTTGTTTTGTTCACCTTTTGTTTTGTTCACAATTAAAAGGAAAAAAGTTTTAAGAGGGTAAATTCCTGCCAGGCACTGAGGAAACCCTGATTTTGAAGTAAGCTTCTCTTAGGATGGCAGAAGGAATGATTCTAGGGATTTTGAAAATTGGCACAAAAAATGAAAGTAATGAATTTGTGCCTGTTTCATCCTATGTAAAGCTACTGTGGACCTCTTGCAGCTGTTTCTTCATACAATCCTTTTTTCCTGCTTGTTTGAAAGATTATAGATATTTAAGATTTGTGTGGTCTGAAATGGAATGGAAAGTGAGCCTCATTACAAGAGATTGGAAGGGGAAGATGGTGGCTGGTCTTCTTCCAAAAGCTGGGAAGATAGTTGGCTAAGGAAAGGGCTCACCAAGGGAACTGGGATCCCCAGGACTTGCATGTGCAATGATGATATAAAGATTCTTCGTTGTGAAATGCTCTAGCGTGGCCTTCAATTTCTTGGCATGAGGAATGAATCTCTGCCGAAATTTATGTTTCTCTTATGCAGAGGGTCAGGCTAAATGATCCTCACAGTTCCTTCTAGCCTGCAAAGCCTTGATGGTAAAATATTTCATGTGCCTCGAAGGAAGGAAACAGCGATGCTGTTTTGCATCTCACACTGTTGGCTCTTGAGCTGTTTTTATCATAATTAATGCCAGCTTCCAAAGGCAGCGCCACAGATAGCTCCTGAAATATGCTGAATGTGCTTGCTTGGGGTAACAAAGGTGTACAGCACAGCACATCCCAACACCTGCCGTCACTGAAAACACAAATGAGCGTGAGCTATGCCAAGACTGCATGTTACGGTGCTGCTGCTGCCACTGCTGCTTTTTGCCAGAAGGATCACAACAAGAGCATTACAAAAAAACAACCAAGTTGGGAATTGGATCACCAGGAAAAGAGGCAGGTTTGTTCCTTGCTGGGGAGGTGGTGCTGGCTGGTGGGACTGTGCTGTGTGTTATTTGCCAGGAATCGGTTTGTGACAGAGCACCTGAGATGGAATATTCCCTATTCCTTACCATTCCTGAAGCAGCCATTTCTCTTTTGGAGCTCAGTGTCAGAATTTAACCTCTAACTAAAGCAGACTGGCTACATAGAGCTGCTGTGGCAATTACAGATGCAATCGGAAGTCATCCGTGTCCCAAGCTCTGACCCTCCTGTCCATGACAGTAGATGACAGCAGGGACTTGTCTTGTCTAGGACAAGCCAGATTTATTACTTTAAAAATAGTAAATAATAATATTAATAAATAAGAAATTGAGTGGAGTCTATTTAAATACATAAATAAGCAATTAAAGAAAATAAAGAAGGGAGGATATGGCTCAAGAAGAAGAGAGAATCACACTCCAGGACAGGGAGGGAATATACCTTTAGGATTCCCCGTGTTGCTTTTTTTGCCCAAAACTAATTGGGAATTTCTCACGCTGCTTCTGCCAGTGGATATCTTTTTAAAGGTTGTGATTTATCAGCCCATCTTTTGGGAGAGTTTGTTTCTTTTACATGAATGTCATTTGCTTTTCTGTGTGGTTCCTATTCTTACCACTTAAAAAAGCAGAGCTGGAAATGAGATGGTTTGTCCTCTTCACCACATTGGAGCATGCAGAGATTTAATTTTTGACCCATCTACTGTCTTAATTCTGCACCTTATCTGAATTTTCCATTGCACCTCCAGACTGAAAACCCTTGTTTCAATTTAACCTGCACTACATAAAACCTTTTTGGTACAGGGAGGAGCCGCACAGTCCTCTGGACAGAGCTAGGAGAGTTTCAAAATCCTGCCTTTCCCTCACCTCGATTTTTGGTTTCTAAACATTTGCCAGCGGGTAGCATAAGGATAAGTACTAATCCAAGCCCCAAATGTTGTAAGCTGCTGTATGCAGGTTTTTAACTGCCCTGTGCATCTGTGAGAAGATGCTGGAAGAAACAGCAGCGGAGGGAGGAGAAAGATGTAATTATTAACATTTCATGTTGGACAAGCATATGGTACAACGGTGCTTCCTCTTGTGTAATAATTATGTCCAGCCATGTGTTGTATTCGATGCTGTAATGCAGTCTGGCTTTTTTTTCTGCCCGCATTTATTTGCGGAAGGGTGTCCTGTTCACATTGTCACCAGGCCTCTCCTGGACCGTGGTTTGGTTTGTGGTGATGTGTGGGTGGTTCCCTGCTCTCCTCTGCTTCCTTCCCCTGTTGCATGACTTAAAAGCTCAGCATCTCTGTTATCTGTTCAGGTCCTCCCATCTGTGCTGAGGAGGAGTGACCCTTCCTGCTGGCACAGCAGGCACAGAAACCCCTGTGATGGGGCTGTAGAGCTGGTGCTCCTTGTGATCAGGTCTGTGAGCAAGGGAGAGATGCTTTCCGACATCCTCCACTGCTGCCAACAGGCTGTGTGTGTGTGATGGCTGCTGAAATGGAGCAAGGGGGAGCATTCTCCACTCAAGACCTCCCTGTCCCTTGCCCTTTTGGAAGGTAACCAAATCTCCATGTCAAATCTCAGGCAGGAAATTCAAGCCAAAGGTATGCCTGGAGTCTGAGGGATCCCTGGGGTGGTACCCCAAGGCACATGTGTCTGCTGCAGTTAGGAGAGTCGTGCTTTGGTGCCCCTATCCATTCTCTCTCTCTGAGAAGTGCAAGGTGTGCAGTCAGCAGTGCTGGAGTCCCACAGCAGCATCAGGTAGAACCCCAATCTGTTAGGAAATGTGAGATTAAACACATGGCTACTGCTTGAACATGAATTGTGGGAAAGGCAAAGCACTCCCTGGCGAGAGAGGCAATGTGGGGCACGGCAAATGATCCGGGTCCCTCTGCAACGTTACAAAACTCCACACGGGTGGGTTTTTGTTTGGTTGGGGTATGTTTTGTTTTTTTTGTTTTCTTTGTTTTTTTTCAAGACCACTGTTTTCCACCTTTCTTAATTTTTAGGCAGCACTGTGGGAATCATGTGGAAAGCCAGCTGGATGGAATTGTTTAGGATGAGAAAACTGGGGAATAGTGAACGGGAAGGGTTGCCTGAATTTGCCAGCATATTGCATAGAGGATGTTGAGTAATTGTAGTGTATTTAAAGCCATCAGAGTAATTTTGAGAGCTGGAAATCCTGTCTTTTTTGGTAACTAGGTTGGGAGAGCTGACTCTTGTGACCTGTTTTTTATGCACTGGCACATGAAGGAGGCTCTGGTGCCACTTTTGAAGGTGCCATTTACATTTAAAGTGCTGAGATTGGGTTTTTTTAAATGGAGGTAGATTAAGCACTGCTACATCTCTCTGAAGGGGAGTGGAGCCCATGGATGTTAGCAAGCTACAGTGGGGACAATCCCAATGATTCGTTCAGGTTTAAGATGGGTTGATGCTCTTTATTTCCAATCTTCTCTGGTGAAAAGAGCAAGAGAGGATCATAGCCACCTCTGCCCTTGTAGTCACGCATGGTGGAAGGAACGCTGGTAAAGCAGAGGAGGTTTGGGTTGGCTGTAAATCAGGATCTCGCAGGCTGTCACAGTGATGGGCTGTTCTGCTTTGGGGTGGAATTTTACTGAACTGGGAGAGTTTGACCCCATCGAGTGTTTTCAGTAATTCTTTGGTATAGTGGCCGGTATTTCAATCTGTGGAGGCTGCAGCCCAGGCTTCAGGCAGCCCGTAGGAAAAGAGGGAGATGTAAAGCAGCGCTATTTCCAGGCGGCATTAGCAGGCCGACTGTAACATCTGAAACAAGAGCAGGATGTCGTTTAAGTGGCAAACAATTTCTATTTCGGTGTGCCTATTCAGGAACTGCAGTTTACATAAGTCACGGCGGCGCGGAGAGGAAACGGGGCTCTCTGTGCATCCAACTTCACTGCGGCGCTGAGCTCAGCAGAGGCAGCAGCCAGCATGGTTCTGGCAGGCACTGCGTTGCGCCCAGGTTGCTTGGAGGAATAGGTGTGGCTGTGCGGTGGACCTTGGACCCCGCCGAGCAAAGTCCCATCTCTCTCTGAGTGCGGGAATGGTAAGGCAGATCTGTGCATTTGTGTTTAAGTGATGGGAAGGAAACAGAAATGCACCACCTTTTCGGGGGGGGGGGGTGGGGTGGGGTGGGGAAGGAGCGGAGTGTGTTAGAAAACCTCTTATGGAGACCAACACTGGTGCAAAATCTTCTTTTCTTATGGGTTCAATTGCTTTCTTGGTTCTTGCCAGGTAGAGAGTGCATCCGCACAGGTGTTCACCCATGTGCTTTTTACCCCCAAATTACTAAAAGTTTAATGTCTGAGAAAGTTATGGGATAAACATCTATCTTTATATATATATATATATGTGGATATTTATATGTATATATAAAATTGAAGACCAGTTGGTTGCTTTCAACAGCACCAATCATAACAGAGCTAAACCCCTCAGCGTGTGTGTCTCACTTTCCCTCTGTCTCTATTTTCCAACTGTCACTTGTGTGGCGCATTGCAAAGTTCTGTAAATCATCCCCAGGAGGTTTGAGTGGTAGATTCATCACTGGTGCAAGACCAGTGTCTCTGCCGAGTTCTACCTGAGGTGGTTTTTACAGCTTTGCTTTCATCACCGCCTGAATATTTTTAGGCTGAGGCTGCTCAGGCAAATGAGGAAGTCTGGCAGAAGTTTCTTCCGGGCTTCTCATGCACTCTGCTCTCCATGTGGTGGTGTGGACATGAGAGTAAGTGCTTTGTCTGGATGGGGAACGAAATGGTTTTCAGTCTTCAAATAGAAGTCGCTCGTGGCATCTGCCGTGCTTGGGGGTTGTGGAAGAGGAGGGATCCCGTGAACGTGAACAGGGTGCCACAAGAAAATGGCCTTGCGCGTCTTTTGTTTGTCTTTCTCAACAGCCATTCAGCCTCCTGATTAGAAAACGCTGGATACCTTCCCGCAGGACAGCTGATGGAAGTCCTTTTTCTTTTCTTACGAGTCTGCCACTAACCTTTTTACATTCTTAATCAACAACGTGTTGAATTCTATCAGCAGATTGGCAGTTCTACTGAAAAAACGTGGACCGATAGCATTCATTTGCTGCATGATAGAGTCTGAACTGTACCAAGCTGGGAGGAGTCTTGGTGCTCTGATGTGCTGCCTGGTTTCAACAGTTTCTGTTGTTTTCCAAGGAGGGAAAAATGAAGAAAATGCAGGGGAAATTCTTTATCTTAGTAAAAAGTCCTGCTTGCCTACAACTGATCACCTGAACTGTGACCTGGCAGGTTATGAGCCCAGTTTATGGTTTGTTTATTTATTATTTAAATAGAAGTGGCATGGAAAACTGTAGCTCTTGCATTAAAAGCTGCATGGTAGGTTGTGAGTTTGGCAGACATTTGTTTTCTCCAAAGGCACTTCTCCTTTTCAGGGGATTAGTTGTTACTGTGATGCACTGAGGAGACAACAGCTGCTGGGGATGGACCTTTCTTCCACTTAAGTCTCCACCATGGAGGAACTGGGTTCTGACACCCAGCATCAATCTGCCCTTCTGTAAAGGGATGAAGGAGAAGGGAGATGTGATGTCACTTCTTCCTTTGAGAACTTTACTGAAGGCAAACACTGGTGGGTCCCCACTTCCCTGTGATGGTAGCCAAGATGGAATGTGGTCCAAGACCCCACAGGTGCTAGGTAAAGAAGTCACACACTGGGGCTGGATGCTGTTGGCTCAGCATGCTCTCTCTGCTCAAGTACTGGTTTGTCGTGGGGGGTGGCATAGGGGCTGCAAGCCTATAACCTGCTCAGTGTCAGGGAGATGTGATCCCTGGGTGCCAGAGAAAGAAGAAAAGTGCACAGGAATGAGCTGCTGTGGTGTGGTACAAGGCTGCACAGTGTGTGCATGGATGTGCAGAGACCAAGGCTATTCTCAGCTTGAGTCTTCATGTACAGGTGCGTGCAGGGTATCTTTTGCCATCTGTCTTCTGACTCTTCTTTTTCACTCTCTCTAGGCATGCTCTGAAAATGAACTCAAATAACGCTGAGTTGGAGAGGGTCAGCAACAGCTCTGCTGAAAGCCTCAGCCCACCATTCAGGAGCGTCCACGTCAGCTTCACAGCTGGCTCCAGTGACAGCCTCGATTCAGACACACAGACTGGCAGTGATGGCAGTAAGTGACCGTTGGGAGAGGTGGCATTGGACCTGAGGAAGGAGTTACCTCCATTCCGAGGCCCACTGCTGGGGCAGCATCCTCAAAGCAGAGATCGCGAGGATCCAGTCACCTAGTTCACTCAGCAACCCTTCACCTTTCCACTTCTACCCTTCTGCCTCTTAATGCATTTAAGATGAATGTGACAGTCAGGCCAACATCATGGGCTTTTCCCTCTTTCATTTAGCAAGTGCCAAATTATTCATCCTGTAGCTCTCCTCTTCTCTGGATAAAACCTCTATTTGAAAGCAGTTGTCGTTATCCTGCTCGTGCTTCATACATTGCACAGGTCACAGGTAGCCCTACCGTAGAATGTCCTTTGTAGATTTGAGGAGTACCAGGAGGAGTCTTGTGTGAGAGGTGATCTCTCCCTCTCATTGTGTTGCCAGTTATTTCTTGAAGGGGAAAAATCTGCCTGCACTCGTTTAACTGAGATTAAAATATACTTACTATGAAGTCACTTTTTTCATCAGTGCGTAACTTAGACATGCACTAACGTGTTCAGCAGCTCAGAAAATATTCCCTTTGCAAAAGCAACCTTCGTGTAGTGGAAGTTCTGCCTTTCCAAGAGCAACAATGCACAGCAATAAAATTAAGAGCCAGGGCTCTGGAAACTCCATTTTTCCACCGCTAACTTGGAGCCTGAGAGTAAAACTGTGCCAGGAAATTGTACCGGGGAAGAAAAACTCGCATGTGTTGGATCTTTACTTGCTGGGCACAGAAGCAATTTGCTGTCCAAAGTGATACTGGACAAGAAAATGTCTCTGCCTCCACTAAGAGGAGCAACTGTTTCAGCTCATCTTGGGAAAGTTGAGTTTTTAAGTGAATAACCCAAACGCAGTTTTTCTTGCTGATGCAAGCAAGAAGCTGTGCAGTCAGTCAGTGAGGTGAGCTCCAATTAATTGCCTGTGCTGTCAGATGGTAAAATATAAAGGCGGGGGGGGGAGTTTTTAAGCCCTTGACAGGCAGAAGGACTCTATGCTGAAGGTCCAGAGCAATGGTAGGAAAGTTGTGAAAGGTTTTTATTAGTTACCCTGTGCTTGGGGCAGGGCCCAGCACCACGTGAATAAAGGTAAGAGCAGTTTAGCATTTGCTGGCCAGGCATGTGGACCACTTGCCAAAGTTTCCAGTGCTGACGTTTGTTCCGTAAGACTCTGTCAAGTAAATCTTGATTCAGCTGCATGTCCTGGCAGAGATGCCTTTGTTGAGTTGCTCTTGGGCTGCACACTGAAGAATTTCTCTTGGCTCTATCCTCTGTCAAAGCCCCTGGGACTGGAAGTGGCAAGAGATGCCAGGCTGAACGATCCCTGCCTGTGGCTTTTGACAGGGTTTTAATGGAGGGGATCGTTCTCAAGGACCTGGCAGGGTATGATGCAGATGTCTGGCTTTCACTAAAGCTTGGGGCATGTATCTCTGTTGAGCTGTGAGCTCCACAGTTAACTGTGCAGCTACAGAGCAGCTGAAACTGGAGAGCGACTGGGTGTACAATGCAGGCAGACACCTGGAGCAGGCGCTCAACAGGAGGCATATAGCTTAGCACCCAGGAACAAGAGCAAGAGGGACGTGTGCTGATTCACAGCACTTCCCACAGAGCTGTTTCTGAGCATGTTGTCAGAAATGGGGTGCCAAAACTGCCTTGCTTGGGAAACTCATCATCTGCAGAAGGTGAAATTGGTGCTGCTCATTCCTCAGGTGTGTCTCAACACTGCTGCTTAGGATGGGGTGTACTGCAGCAGGAGCATACAGCCAGTCTTAGCAGTGGAGGGGACAAATGAAAACGGATGTCATGCTACCAACTCTGGTGAGGAAGGACCAGGACAGGTCATGGCAGCATCTGTGGTCTCAGGTGGTGAGCAGCTAGCAGGGTCTGCTGCTCTGGCACAGTTGGTATGGCTTTGAGCATGCATGTGATGTGCCAGGACAGACAGGCTGGGAGCTCAGGGATCTGAGCCCCTGCACTTGAAGGAGGTTGTGCATGAGAGCTGGTGAGTCACTAGGGTTGTGATGGAGACAAGTGCCTGCTTCAGACTGACATGAAACTGCCCCAGGACATTCCTGTGGAGCAAGCAGAAAGCTACTGTGAGTAAGGAAGTGCCTGCTGGCATCTGAACCCTCACCAGCAGGATGGCTTGCTGCCACTCTGCAGCTTTGGAAGCTGGGTTCAAAGAAAGCAATAGGTTCCACTATCTGCTGAGCTTCCTTGGAGCAGAATCCCACCATACATCTTCAAAGGTCTACACTTGCATGCAATATGTTAGCAGAGCTCAAGTTTATCAAGAGTCCTGCCTGTCATTCCAGTGGCGTAGAAAATTCCCTGAAATAATTATGTCTCTTCTTTTAATTTCCCCTGCAGACCCCTCCACTTGTTATTCATTCTGTCTCCATGACCTGAAATTATTGCTATTTATTTAAATGTCAAATCATCCATTTTTTCCTTTTCTTTCCCTTTCTTCTGTGACATGTAACTGTATTACCTGTCTCCAGTCTGTCCAGGGTAGGAAAACAGCTGGGATAGCTAGCTGAAATGAGCCAGCTATCCCAGCCCAATCTATGTGCAGATGGCATGTGAAGCTGCTTGGGGTTTAGTGGTGTGTAGTGGGGCCAGGCTGCCCTCTGAGCACAGAGGTCTGGCAATAAGCTTGGGCACAGGCAGTGAGCGGGAGGCCAGATTTTTCTAGGAGGATGGACATTGCCAAAATCCCAAGCCTTGCTCAGTGGCTCTTACCCAGTGTAAGGCAGGGACAGGTTCAATATACTCCTTGGGCTGCTCTGGTACAGCTGGAGGGCTGGAGCTGTGTAGTGTGAGTCACTATCTCCTTATCGTGCTATGGCACTGAAGCACTGGGTGGCAGCTCCCAGGTGAAACATTCAGGCTGTTTAGAGATTGTCCTTGTATCCGGAATGCTTCGTTCTTACCTCCCTGTGGATGACATCACAGCTTAAATATTTACCCTCTACTAGCATTTTACTACTGTGTGCGCAGCTCATAGGGGAAGGGGGGGGGGGGGGGGGGCGGGGAGGGGGAGAGAGAGATGGACACTTGCATCCTGCTTTGCAAACCTGCTGTATTAAACCAGATTAAATCCCTAACCCCTTCAGTGAAGCTTTGCAGTCATGAATAGGTGAGGACTGTGCACTGGGGTTAGATGTAACATGGCTTGCTGCCTTATTCCCAGCCAGGACCCTGGGAGAAGCAGCCTGTGGGGGTGGGTGGGACATGGAGGAGGAATTGTGCTTCCAGCCCACAAGGGACACTCATGGCATCTTCTTGTGTGTCGCTGTCTCCTAGGGCACTCTTCTGAGCTGAACCACTCACCTCCTCCACCTGAGAACCAAGTGTTTCCCCCTGTCCCTTTCCTTCCTGTCTCTGCTGAGGATGGTCCCTCCTCTGCCCCCAGCTGCCCACCCCCTCTGCCCCAGAAGAAGACCGTGAGCAGAACAGTGTCCTCTCCAGATGGCTTTTTTGGAGGACAGGCATCTTCAGGCAGAGCAGCTGATGCTCCCAGCCCCAGGCTGAATGTCAGCCACTCCGAGACCAATGTCTGCCTCCGAGAGGAGCCTCCCTTCATCCACCCAGCCAGCCTGGGGGGCCGCCCCGGCGCCTTCTCCTCTTCTGAGTCCCTGGAGAAAAGCTCCAAAGGAAACAGCTACTGGGGCTCAGCCTCTGGTAAGAGCACCGGGGCTTGTGTCCCCAGCAGAAACCTCCAGTCCCTTTCTTCCTCGCAGCTCAGTGTGTCCAGCCAGGTGTCATCGGGCTCCAGCCTCCAGCTCCACAACCTCCTGAGCAATATTGACAGCAAGGAGGGGGTGTATGCCAAGCTGGGGGCTCTGTACGCCGAGTCCGTGCGCCGCCTGGTTGCCAAGTGTGAGGACTGCTTCATGCGGGAGCAGAAGAACGAGCTGCACTTCAGTGAGAACAACTGGTCCCTCTTCAAGCTGGCATGCAACAAGCCCTGTTGTGACTCAGGGGATGCGATATATTACTGTGCCACCTGCTCCAAGGACCCTTCTACCACCTATGCTGTGAAGGTAAGCCCCAACCCAGGAGGCATCCAGGTATATCTTCATCTTCCACTTGTGAGGATGATGCAAAGAGATGCAGGATCCAAGGCTGCTTGGGGGTCCTCTGAGCTTTGACTGAACCTTTGAGCTTCTTTTTCCCCCTTTCCGGTATATGGATTCGAATGAAAGAGTGGGAAGCAGATTCAGTGGTATATCTTTGAGACGCACCATCAGCACACAGTGGCCTGTTTTCTCTGCTTGTCTTTCTCACAGGTGAAGTTTGGCAAGCAAAAACCCTTTCCAAAACTGATGTTTTCCCCTTGCTGCTTGCAAAGGTTAATTTGGAGTAGTTTTAGTTGTAACAAATGCCATTCAGATGCATATTGCTGCAGAGTAGTAGGGTCTGAAACCCAACCAGTTTCTCTCTAAAAATATCTTTGTGCAAATACTACCTTGTAAACTCAGAGGCATTTGCCTCTGATGACACAAGCTGATGAAAGGCTTTTCAAAAGACAGCATTTTTGTCTCTGCCTGCCTTTTAAGTGGAAGGTTTGACCCAGAAACCATGTGAGTGCTTATATGATCTTGAAACTACAGGCATTAAGATACTACAGATCTCAACTAAACAATGTGAGGCTGACCTAGACGTGCTGTGTAAGGTCAGGTCTGAAATACTTTTCTGTAACTCTGTGAAATCCACGTTTGAAATGGAAACTTGAGGTACAATAGTTCAGCTCTTTGAAACCTGGATAAGTAAGCTTATCCAGCCTGTTCCATGGACATCCCATGGATTTTGGGCTCTTGACCTATGTTACTGTTTGAATACAGAACCTTTCATTTCTATTCTGACTTAACCCTAGGGACATCTCATTGCTGCTTACTCTTCAGGCTGTTTTCAAAACCTAAAGTAATTCCCCAAAAAGCACTGTCAGAGATGCATTAAGCAAAGGGAAAAAAGAAAGAATCTCTGCTGAATCATTTCAACTATTATGAACCCCAAGGGGGATGTTTTAAAACCAGTTCATAGTCTAAAGTAAGTACAGTCAACCCAACGGGGGGGGGGCTGTAAATAACCAGAATGGAGTTAGATGGGATCTTGCACCAATACCCCTAGTCCAGCACTGAAAGCTGCAGCTTCTTTTGTGTGTTACACCTAAATCCATCGTAGCTTTCCCCCTGGAACCTAAGAGTTGTGTGGTCCTTTTCAATCTGCGGTTCCCTGTGGCACACACACCCCCCTTTGCTCTTGCCTGCCATGTTAGGTGGGGTTCAGAGGCTAAGCTCTATGGCTGTGCATGAATTCTTGCCAAGGCAGAAAAAGCACATTTCAGCCTCTTACTTTATGGGACGGCACTCGAGTCCCTGCTTGTGATGTGGGCTTACTCTGCGTTCTTGGTACACTGCAGAGTGCCTTAACAAGGCCAGAACCACTCCAACGGGGTCGTGCTTCGCACCGGCATTAAGTGAAGTTGTGTCTGTGTTTGCACATGTGCATGAGTACGCTCTCTGCAATGTTCCTGTGTGCCACCTTCCTTTTGGTAGCTGAAGTAGAGAAAATTGTGAGCCTTTACAGCTGGGCGATTCCTAACTGCCCCTCCTGGCTTCTGGTATAATTTTCTGACATGAAACTGATCACAGGCCTGTAGTTGAAGTTGGGCTTGAAGACCTCAAAGTGGGCAGAGGATTTGACTCAAGCCAAGGAGCCTGCTGAGCCAGGGTTTGGGCTATGCACAGGCAGACACAGCTGTGTATAAAACAGTTAGAAGGAGACAGAGTTACATGAACTGGCTTTAGAGGAATTAAGCCAAGATACACTCCATGCCTTGGCTTCTTTCTCCCCTTAAGAGATGTGTGACTAAGCCAGCCCCAGGCTCCTCCTTGGAGCTTGTTGCATGGGATATGCCTCTGGTACAGCAAAAGTCACGAAGAATGGCTGGCTGGTGAAGATCGCCCTGTCTTTCTTTGGTTGCAGTTATTCCTCTAGAGACTTACAGGAGTTCCTCCCCTTCTCCTAAGGCTTACACATCTTCCCTATGTGGGGAGGAGCAAGCAGGCTTGTTCCACAGAGGGCTGGAAGGCCTCCTCCTTTGGGGACCTTCTGCACCTTCCTGCACCTCACTGTCCTAATCTGCAGTCTGCCTAGCTCTCCAGAGTTTGTCTTTCCACAAAATAGGCATGCAGCCATGGCAGGGTATTTTTGTTTAGAAAAGCGAGGACAATAAGGATTTGAAATGCCCCATCTCCGCAGTATGGTCTCAGCTGAGCGAATTACCTGCAAATGCCTGGATTGAAACCCTTGCTAGAGGAATACAAAAGCAGCCCGCTTCTCCCGCTCCTCTCTATTCTTGCATTTATTTTAACTCGGAGGCAAAATTGATTTCTTGCCTGATTTTGCACACATGCTGTGACTGGCAGTGGCACGCTCCAGGGTTTGAAACCTTTTATGCTGAGTTTCAGCCTGTTGCTGATTCCTGTGGGTGAGATATAAATACATCGCTAAATAAAAGGGGTGGGGGGGAAGAACCCCATGTATAATAGAAATGCCAGAAGGCCCCATAAGCTAATGGATCCTCCTATAATAAACCTGGGTTTGAGTTTGTTTAGTCTTTAATGCAGTCATAAAGCTAAAATCCGGAACAAAATGAAGATAAAAGTCATGTGGGTTTAGGAGAGTCTAGATTATAAAATGCTTTTATTTTCCTTGAGTTTGCTGCACTCTCACTTATTTCCAAGCCTGTTGTTAGCTTCCACTTTCTCTCTGGTGTTTTTTCCCTCTGCTGATAACTACAGCTTGTTGCTGGTTTCCCTTAGCCATTGATCCAGGGTTTGGGAGTAGTTGCTGATACAAGGAAGCAGATGGTTGAGAAAGATATGAAAGTGGCTCCAGGACCAGAGAAGGGTTAGGTGGGAAGAAAGTGCTGGAGTTCTCTGTCCACCCCTTGCTCCCTCACTTCAAACAGGGCCACCCTTGCAGCCACATCACATTGCATGGGGCCTCATCCAGGTAAATGCTAACCGTGATCTCCTGAGGCAGGAGGAGGAGGCTGCACATCTTCTGCCACAGGCTTTGCTTTACCCTCTGCAGAACGCCATTTGGGTTGCAGGCGGGAATCTGGATGATGTCAAAGCTATGTTGCTGCTGTCAGCAGTGAACAAAATCTCCAGGAGTTACTCATGGGAGGACTACCTTCCTCCTTTCCTGCAAACACCATGTACTGACTGGCAAAGGAAGCATGCCCAGAGATGCAACCCAGACATCTGGTTGCTACGGTTGGGGTGTTGCAGAACAAGAAAGATCCTCAAGCCATGGAATACTTTTAAGTATGAAAGGGCCCAATGTGAACCCCACTTCTAGTTAGTGATGTCTTCCTTAGGAAATCTCAGCTTTGGAACCTATCTCTCAGCTTCTGTTCTCTGCCCTGTCTCTGACACTGACTGATGAGGCTCATCTTTTGGTCTCTCCTCACAGATTTGTAAAACCCAGGAGTCCAAGGTGGCTGCTTCATACTGCAGCCCTGCAGTGCCAGTCCACTTCAACATTCAGCAGGACTGTGGGCATTTTGTGGCCTCTGTCCCCTCCAGCATGCTGCTGGCCTCAGATGCAGGGAAAGGCATGCCTGGGGATAGCCTCCATCCCTCCCGCACTGCCAGCGAGCACGACTGCGTGGTGGTCATTACCCGAGAGGTGCCGAGCCAGACCACTGCCGACTTCGTGAGGGACTCGGTGACGTTGCACCAAGCCAAGCCAGAGCTGTACGAACGTCGTGTTTGCTTCTTGCTCCTCCAGCTCTGCAACGGCCTGGAGCATCTCAAAGAGCACGGCATCATCCATCGTGACCTGTGCCTGGAGAACCTCCTGCTTGTCCCCTGCAAGCCCCCCATGAGCTGCGTGAAAGCCAAAGATGACAAACACTTACCCCGCCTCATCATCAGCAATTTTTTGAAAGCCAAACAGAAGCCAGGAACTGGAGACTCCAAACTGAAGAAGAGTCAGGCCCGGCTGGCCCCGGAGATCGTGTCCGCTTCTCAGTACAAGAAGTTCGATGAATTTCAGACTGGTATTCTCATCTATGAGCTGCTGCACCAGCCCAACCCCTTTGAGGAGAAGGTGCACCTCAGGGAGCAGGAGTACAGCCCTGAGGACCTTCCTGCTCTGCCCAGCCTATCCATCTATTCCCGGGGGCTTCAGCAGCTGGCACACCTTTTACTGGAAGCAGATCCCATCAAGCGTGTGCGGATCACTGAGGCGAAGCGGATGCTGCAGTGTCTGCTTTGGGGGCCGCGGAAAGACCTCACCGAGCAGCCCCTCAGCCACGAGGAAGCCCTCTGCCGCGTGCTTCAGAACTGGGTGGACATGAAGCGTGCCCTGCTCATGATGAAGTTTGCAGAGAGGGCTGTGGACACGGAGCGGAGCATTGAACTGGAGGACTGGCTGTGCTGCCAGTACTTAGCATCTGCTGAGCCCGCCTCCCTCTCACACACACTAAAGCTGCTGCAGCTGCTCTGACCTTGGATGTGGCTCAGAGGCAGCGGAGGGCTCCTGGTTGCCTTGTGCGTAAAGGTACAGAGCCCCTTTGTATGTGAGAGGTTTGAATCTGAGCTGCGAATGCACATCCTGCTCCTGCCCTGCACTCCAGCTGGAGTGCACGAGACCTGTTCAGGACCCTCAGCACCGTTAATCTGTGAGCAGGAAAAACTGGGAACCTACCCCTATTTTGGGGGATTTTTAGATTTTTTTTTTTTGTATGTTAAGTCTGTGGACTAATAAACTCCTGCCTGCGTGTGTGCATGTGCCTAAAGAACCCAGCGTACGGGAGTTGATTTCTGCACCTTTGGCACAGTCCTCTGATCTCTGTTCCACCTGAAGCATCAGAGCCTTTTTGCCTGGGAACAGCACTGCTCTCCAGAGTGGGCAGCAGGGATGAATTTCTGCTGCTTCTCCAGGGGAGCAAGTGTAATTCCTGTAATGCTCCTTTGCAAGGGAGAACCAGGAAGGGCTTTCAAATGGGGTTTGGCATCCATTTTGCTTCTCGCTTTAAAACCAAAAAAATGCTGCTTGTTTCTGTGTATCAGCTGTATTTTCCACTGTGGGCAATTCAATATCAGCTGTCTATTACCTTGTTTGGTTACTAATAGAGCATGGCTTTCCTGTCTAGTGGAACCACTGTGCAGGCTGTTGACTGAAAGGGTGAGACACAGCCCAGGATGGGTCTGTTCATGAGGATGATGCTGTGTGCTGGGAATTACCCCTTGTAAAATTAATGAAATGGAAAATCCCCAATTCACCTCCAAGACCTGGTGGGGGGGGAAGTCAGGGCCAGGTTGCTTTGCTTTCCTCATCCCTCTTGTAATTCACCTGTCCCTTGTGTCTAGCATTTATTTAAGCCCTTTAGCAAGAGATGAGCTGCCATGTGAAAGGCTAGCACCACTGGCCTATAGCCTGGGAGGGTCTTACTGCTGCAGGTGTTGGAACTAGAAATACATAGGGCTGGGTGTGCTGCAAACACACTCCTCCAACAGATGCAATGCAAGAGCAGCTTGATGGAAATGGAGAAGGTGGCCTGGCTCCCTCCAGCCACTTTTCTTCCATCCAGACATGTAGCAGCCACTCAGCTTCGTAAAGTGGCCGTGGTGCTCCTCGGGAAGACTTTACAAAAGGTTGTGAGCTGAAGGTTGTGGGCTGCTTTTACTCTTCAACCCCAACACAAGGCAGAGATGAACGGCCCTGTGCCTGGCACCAGTTCTGCAGCCCTTGGAGAAGGACACGTGAAGAGAGCCGGGCATCAGCTTTGCTGAGACAGGATGGCACTAGCTGAGCTGCTCCCCTCCCAGCTCCAAGCAGGTATAAACTCACAAGTGCTTTCCTGCAGCCTTGAGTCACCTCCAGATTAAGGCTGCTCTCTTGGGGGAATTTTAATTCCCCAGGATTTTTGACACTTCATACGCTTTCTGTGAATCTTTTCCAGGCTTCTCATCTGGAGTATTTTATCTGTTTGGCTATGGTTGCTGCTGATGGGAGGGGATGAGTTCCTTGGCTGGGCACCCATTTGCAATGAATTTCCCCTGATCCCCTCAGGGAGGAGGCCGTGCAGGTCCCTGCCTGCTGAAAGAATGTGGGATGGCTCCAACTGTGGCCGTCGGGGATTTTTGTTATACACCAGCTTTCTTGCATCTGACTCTTGGGTCCATTTCCCTCCAGCAGAGGTGGCAGGAGCCATCTGGCTTGGGAACCACTGTCCTGTGGCCCATCCTGAACACATCACCCTGGCAAGTCTGGCCCTGGCTTGCTGCATGTGGTTTCACATGGGCCAGCAGGGTGATGAAACAGCTGGAGAACCTGCCTGAAGGAGCCCAGCATGTTGTTCAGAGATAAGATGTAGAGATAACTCAGTTTCTAAGCATGGAGGGAGGAAGTATGTTGGAGGTAGCTCTGCAGGACAGCACTAAAGGAGAGAGGACCTGGCCATGATGTATCCAAGCTGAGCAATAACTGGGAGATAACATGTGGGGTGAGTGGCTTGTTAAGTTTAGGCTGGGTACTCAGCAGGACTCAGGAAGTAGCCAAACATCCAACCAGCCCACATAAACCAAGGTTGGATCCATTTTGCATGCCGAGTTTCAATTTAGTGACAAACACTGATACAGGTATTGGCACAGGGCCTGCACAGCATGTGATGTTAACCTGATCAAAAGGTTTTCCCTGAAGTTCAGGCACTTGAGACTGGCTCTGGTGTTGGTCCTGGTACCCTGCAGCAGCACAGTACCAGCAGAGCAGAAGCCAACAGCAGTCCTGTAGCAATTTCCGTTGTATTATTTTGAGATCTGGTGGGTGGCTTCTTGCTCTCATGTAAACAGAAACTCTTAGCTTCATGCTTTCTTGGTAATTTCCCCTATGGTAGCTCAGGCTTCTTCTCCAGCTTTGGGTCCTAGGCCAGCATATGAACTGGAAAAGTGTATGAGGGTTTCTGCTGTGTAGCTGTTGTGGGGAAAGTGACACCTAAGGCTTGGATGAATGCCACAGCTGAGTGTGAGGACTTTGCTGGCTTTCTCTCTCTTCCCTGTGCTGTTCTCAGCATGCCATGGGCAGCAGCCCCTACTTTTAGCAGGCATTCTTGCCTGATGTGCCCAGGGTCCTACGCAAGAAAATGGAGGGGATGGACCACCCCTCTTCCCCATGTAGCAGGGGACACAGCTGACCCTCCACCCTGGGGCCCAAGCATGTCACCCGCTCAGGGGGAGCAGGAAGGGATTGCAGGACATGTCTAATTGGGAACACAGTTTGGGGTTCACATGCCACAGGGACAGTGCGGGGAAGCAATTGGTGGAGGAGCACCACAGACCTATGCATCTCAGTAGCACTGCTGCGTGGGGAAAGGGGTGTCTCTTGTTTTGTGCTGCCCCTAGGCAGACTGCCAGCCCCCTTCCCTGTGCTCAGGCTCCCAGTGGTCCATGAGCACAAGAAGGATGACAAGAGAGCTCTCTGCCAGCGCCTGCTATATCCCCATAGAGGACAAATTCCTAGGAGCTGGGCACAGCTGCTGACATGCATGTGTAGCACAGATGAGTTTGGTGGGGAGGTTGTATGCTTCCTACATGAGAAGATGCTGAGACCCAAAGCCCAAGACAAACACTGGGCAGACAGTGGTGCTAGCAGCCCTCTTGCCCAGTGGTCTGGTGACCTTACCTCCCTGCTTCAGAGCGTCCCTCAAAGCTGGGAGATATCCCAGTTCCAAAAGCCAGCCTGGTTCTCTGGAGATGCTGTTATACGAAATCGCTTGGCCAATAGCACTTCTCACCCTGCGAACTCGTGTGTGCAGGGACATGCCCTGCTGGCTGCACAGATTAACCCAGGACAGGCTCAGTTCTGCTTTGTCTCCTTGGCAAGCAGAAGCAGCGTGAGGCCCTAGGAGAGAGGGGAAGGATGCTGAACTTAATGCAGGTGAGGGACCAGCCCTGTGCCCTTCCTTGAGCCAGCAGTAGCAAAGAGAGGTGATTTAGTTCCAAGGCACAATCCCATTACGAACTCCTTATTCTCTTTTGGTGTTGAGACCAAGGCCAGATGGAGACAGATCTTTTTGTACCTCCCAAGGTTTTGGAACATTTACAACAGGGACTGACATCACTGGAGACCATCCCCTGTGCTGGTTCCCTTCAACCTCATGCCAGAGCTCCTGAGACAAGAGATAAGCAGCTCCAAGGACCATGCACAGTAGCCAGTGATGGGGAAAAAGGTGTAGGGCTGCATGATGTTCCCCTTCCATCCCATTTCACACGATACGCAAGCTGCACAGAGAGCCAGCTCTTGTCCTGGCATCTCCTTCAGGAGGATGCTTTTCTGATCCTTCTTATGAAGCCAGGAGATTAATGGGTGCTTTTCCTCATAGATGGAGTACCTGGGTATGATCTGCATTGCCACTGGCTGCCAAAAAGAGTAGATGTGTTAGCACTGTCAGGATGATCCTGATTTTCTTGTGGCTGAGGTTTTTTTACAGTTTAGCTTTCACAAAGAACAGGCACTAACATATGCTAAAGAAGCAAAGTTACTTCTTGCGGGGGAAACACAGCAGAGGGGTGAACTAACAGCACAATAATGGGATGGGACAGGATGGGAAGGGACGTGTGGCAGGGGTGGAGCTGCTTTTCAGGCAAAGGGGAGATGCCAGGAACAACCCAGACTTTCCAGCACATGCAGGTAGACACAGCGTGCAGTGCATCCCAGAAGTGGCAATGCTGCTCTGCCACTGCTGCTCAGAGCTGACTCCCCACTGTGGGTTCTGCCATGTCTCCCATGCTCTTTGGAGCCTGCAGTGCAAGGCTCGTAGGGTAAATCACAGTGGTGATATTTTAATCTCTCTGTGTCAAGATGATCTGAGCTGACAGGGAACAGGAGGAGAGGCTGGAGTCCTCCTCCAACCCTTGGAGAAGGAAGGTAGAAAGAAACAGAGCAGCAATTAAATCATGGTACTTGTGGAGACCCCAGGCATCTCCTCCTGAAAGGCTCAACCCACCCAGCTCCCCCCATGTGAACCTCCCGGGGTTGCCATGACAGGAATGCTCCAGATGCCCCTGAAATACCCCAGTCCTTCTCCAGTGTATAGGCAGTAGAGCTCTTCTCACTGGGGCAGCGCTGGGAGTTGGAACTCACCAGTTTAAGGGCACCCTCCAAGCGCCTTTCCACTGAATTCTGAAAAGGAGCATCTCAGTTACTCAGGGCACAGGAGGAAGAGAGCTCTTGGACAGGGAGCAATTTTGAAAGGCATCAGGAAGACCGTTTGCTGCACTCTTCCTCCACAGCTACAATTTAGGAGTGCATTTGGGCTGTCAGCGCTTCCATTGCAGTCCTCGGGGCTCCCTCAGCAATACGACTAGAGCAAAGAGGACACGCAGCCCGCTGGGCTGCTTTAGGCAGAATGTTGCCATCAAGTGGAGGGAGGTGGTCCTGCTCCTCTGCTCGGCGCTACCGAGACATACCTGCATTGCTGAACCAGCGACGGACTCCCCAGTACAAGAGCAAATATGACCATACTGGAAAGAGTCCAGCAAAGGGCTGATGATGCTGGGGGGACTGGAGCATCTCTGATAAGAGGAAAGGCTGAAAGAGCTCAGACTGTTCTCCCTGGAGAAGGCTCAGGTAGGGGAGCTTACCAATATACTGGTAAGTACTGATGGGGAGGAATGGAGAGGGGAGCCACACTGTGCTTAGTGATGCCCAGTGGCAGGATAAGCGGTGATGAACATATACCGAAATCCCATCCAAACCCAAGAAAATACTTGTGTATGCATGTGCATGCAGAGTGTGCGC